GTTTGATACATCTCGAGAGAGAGTATTGGATAGACTTAGGAACATTGATTCGTCAACAATTGAATTATGTTGTCATATTGTGAAACTAGAGTTTAAAGTGATAATTGCATGGGAAATCGTGATCCTAGTGTGTTTAATTTCTATTGATTACAACAAACGTGCGTTCTCAACAATTGATTTCATTTTAAAGTTTTAAATTATTGTTTTGTTTATTAATTTCATTACAATCATAAAAGCTGCATAAGTAGGGTTTTCTTTCCAATTTTAGAGTTTTAATTAGGTCCACATTCATTTTGAGTAATTTGGTTTCGGTTAAGGTCGAATAAGTAAAATTGAACTAACCAATCTCTGTGGGACGATACTCGGACTAATTGAATCCACTTTATTACTTGTTAACGAATCGTACACTTGCGGTAATTTAAATCGAAAGAAAATATTTCGTGAACACTCATTCGAGAGGCGACGAGTTATTTAGCCAACTTTCTTCACATAAGGGGGGCCCAAGTTGTCACTCTTGTTGTATACAGCACAGCCCCTTTCAAATACATAATATTGCCTACAAGTACATACTCAAATATGTACTCAAATATATGATAGCAACAAGGTTGGCGACTACAGTTAAAAGGTCATAATATCCCTCCTCTAGTCCTCCAAAAATACTTCAATCTTGTACATTTAAAGGTATGAAAATATCATTAACTCTAATCAAACCTTTGTCCTTTTATATCTCTCACACTCAATCTTTATAGATGATAACTATCTTGATCGAACTACCCCCATACAATGACCTTGCAATTTAACTAGCTTTCAAATGTTCAGATAGTATATATGTGAACGGGAGCTGAAAATAGATTGATTAATAGCAAGATTGCTCAACTTTGGAGTTAAACTTATATTACCAAAAATTTGTTACCAAAACTGTTTTTCAATTTCAATGATCAATCCTTACAATTTTTAATACAACTTAGCAAACTTAAGAAAATTGGGATAAATCTTTATTCCAAGATCTATAATTACTAACTTACTACTTTTTATCTTATATTTTGTTAAATTTTCAACTTACAATCAACACGCCATTAATCTTTTGTTTTTAGCTAACATTCCCCTAGTGGCTTTCGCTAGTGCTCATAATTAGTTTTTGATAAAAAAAAAATTAAAAACAAAAAAAACTCCAGTTATCCTGTAAGTGGATTGCATGAGAAAGACTGCCACGTAGCCACATTCACTTCGGTGACTAGACTTTCAACAGCCAGGCGTCTCTCACTCTCTCTCCCTTCTCTCTCTAACATTACACTCCACAACAAAATACATCTCCTTTCACTCCACTCCTCTCAAATTCATCATCACACTTTAAGATTACTCTCTCTAGGGTTCCGGATTCTAAAAGCTTCTTCTCCTTTCTCTTTTTCCAATAATGAGAAAGTTTCCTTGATTCGAATATTGGATTCGGATCGGATTTACTTTTTCACCTGATAATATAATAATAATTCGTTTTTTCTTAATTTTGTTTAAAAAAATTATTGGATGATGGTGAAATCAAGTTACTTTAATGATGGTTGCCGATCTGTGTTTCTGGATGTCTCAGATGCTTTGAATGTAAGAGCCGATCAATGCTTTGTCTTTGTTTTTATTTGGTTTATGACTTTATTATGAAGTGCGCGAGATGGAAAGAAATCAGATAAGTTCAATCAGCTTTATGGAATTATGCAAATGTTTGATTATTATTATTATTTTTTTAAATTTTTGATTAAATGAAGCTAACGAGATGAAGATGCGAATGGAACTTGTCTTTGTTTGCCATGTTGAGAAATATCTAAAGAAAAAAAAGTTGGAAATGATGTAAAATGGCTATTTATCTAACAAATTAATACTTGTGGAAGCTGAAGACCTGAGTTTCTTACTATTACTACACCTACCAAAAACAAGGGCAAAAGCTTTACAGTTATGTTTGTAAAAGAAGTATTCCGCTAGTGTATAGTTTGCTTAAGTATGGAATCAAAGGATAGGAGCTTTATCCGTACACTGAATTAGGTATGCTCAAACAAGATAAAAAAGAAGAAGGTGTTAATGGTAGATTAAAGACATTTTTCACTTGGTCTCGTTGGTTTTGATATTCATTGAAGTAGTTAACTCAGCATTTGAAAATGATGGATCTTGTATTTATGATTTGCTTAGACATGAGGATTAACACTAAAGATCCTAATTTCTTCTTCTTTTTTGTGCATTGCGTTAGATTTGAAACTGAGACCCAAGCCGGTTGCTTTAGATGTTATGCAACAGCTTTCTGAGGTCTGTGAGTCTTCGAGCAGGTTACATCTGGAGAGGATTGAATGCACCGCAGTGCTTAACTTATTTGTTGGATTTCAAATCTACAATAACAAGAAAGATGATGGTGGATTCTGGAGCAAACGCTAAGGGGGGACCTGTTATTGATATTTTATCTGAGAAGGATGAAGATGGAGGATATGCTAGCGGAGGATGGAAGAGGTGATCAAATTTGCATATTTTTCAATTGCTTGTTTGTCTATGGTTGATTCTGCAATACATTATTAGTAGTGTTAGTAGAAAATCTTACATTATAGTATTCATTTTTGTATGTGGTGACTAAGGTTAGTTGACATTATTTACGGATGGGATTAGTTGCAAGCTTTTGCACTCCTGTCATATTTATAGTATGATCTATAGCAGATTAAGTTGGCATATGTAACTTCATCAAACATGATCATCTCATTTAATTTTTCTCTTTCAGTTTCTTGATGAAATCTGGCTCTTTTTCATTTTCTGTCCCTTCATTTGTTTTCTGAAAGGTGTGAGAGGATTTGTCTAAATAACCTTTATTGTCAAACTGGAAAATGCTTCTGGAATGCCCTCTTATTGATGCATATGCCAGTGATGATACAGAACAACATGAATCATGAGCTTTTATTGTATTATAGTCTGGAGAGATACATGTGGCAGGCTGGTTGCACATTATTGGTAGAAAGAGAACGAGGATGAAAGACACCTGCGAACTATAGATCGGGACAAAATCAAGAAGCAGAATGCATCTATACAGTATAGAAAGTTATGGAAAACTGATAGAGATACTACTTTTTCTGCTAAGTTGTTGATGGGTCCGAAAATAAATGTACGCGTAGCATTTATTGTATCTTATTATTGCCTACAACCCTAGTATTGATAAAGTAGAATTCAGTTTGTGGTAATGTGGCTTGTTTGGTTTCTGGGTCTTGGTCGGTGCTTCTAATGTGCTATAGAAACCGTTAAATCACAAAAAATGAGCATCTTCTGTTGGGTATGTTCTAACAAAGGACTTATATTAAGTGTCTGGGTATATTTTCTAAAATTAGATTTTATCTGAATTTTCAGGTCCAGGAGTTTCCTGTTCAGGAATATTTAATTTCTCATATTATTTGTCATATTGATAAGATGTTTCTTTGAGTAATATGCTGGAGAAAATAGCAAGTGTTCAGACTATGTTACAGGAAGTTAATATATTTCCTCAGCTGAATATGCATAACTTACTCAGTGTTAATGCCATGTTAACTTGCTCATTATGTCATGCTATGCCATAGTTGGAAGATACTGACATAATATAAGGTCTTTTTTCTGTTGAATGGAAATACATATAATGTTATCTAGACTTTTTTTCCCTTCTTTCCTGCCTATATGGACATGTACATCACATGCTTATCTCTCCCTCGAGTCATACTTTTGGATTTTTTTTTTCCAATTTGGCAGTGAAGATGGAAGATTGAGCTGTGGATATTCCAGTTTCAGAGGAAAGAGAGCGACTATGGAGGATTTTTATGACATTAAGACTTCAAAGGTTGATGGACTAACAGTCTGTCTCTTTGGAATATTTGACGGTTAGATGTTCTCGAATTACCCTTCACCTTGAAGCTTGAGTTGTTGATATAAAAAAAAGGCTTACCTGCTAAAGTGACAGTTTATGATGTTAATGCCCAAATTCGAGTAAAGACTGGCTATCTAAAACTTCATCTTACTTCACTCACGAACGAAATCTTGACATGGTTATCGTTTTGACCTTAGTAAAACTTAAAATTGAGAATAAATTGCCTACTTTTGCGAGGGAAAATCCAATTCCAGCTACAGTGAGTGCTGGAAATTATATGGTAGAAGTTTGTAATATGTGTTAGCTAAGTTGATTGTAATTTCTTATTCCTAACATGATAGAATCTAAAATCAGGCAGAGCAAATTTTCAGTTCATATAGCGCTTGAAAATTTGTTTGTCTACTCAGGGATCTGTAATAATTAGGCAATTTAGTACCTCACATCCCTCACGCCTGGCAGTTGCCTGGTGGACAGACCTGGTAACCATGACTATCCCAAAACACAGTTTATCTCATTTTTTTGCATTAAACCGATCTCGCTAAAAAAGAGATCAAAGTTAACTAGTGTGTTGAAAATTTTAAATCTGGATATGTTGGAGGATCAAATTGTCATTTTAAAATTTCAAGCTTAGTGCTTCATCAAATATGCTGCTTCCTCTGTTAATATTACTTGGCATGGGCATCTGACTTAATTATGAATAGAAATTAAAGTATAATTTTACATTTGTGACAAGCATGATTTGTGATGACAGGTCATGGTGGTTCACGTGCAGCTGAGTATTTAAAGGAACATCTCTTTGAGAGTCTCATGAAACATCAAGAATTTATTGTGAACACCAAATTGGCAATAAGTGAGTTAACAAATTTATTTTCATCTCTGTTTATTGCTCCTTACACACCAGTTCATCTGGACACCATAGAATCAGCCATCATCATTCTTCATCTTGCCTCATCCCTTATGGGGACTATGTAATAGCTACGATAAAGAGTAGTCCGGTTTTGTAGACGTGATAAAAATTTAAACCTGATTACTTTTGGGTCTCTACTTTGGGGATTCACTACACACGGGTTGATGTAGAATCACTTGAGAAGAAGAATCAGGCAGCACAGAAGAAGGGAAAAGCAGAGGGGAGGAAGAAGAAGAGAAAATGAGAGGGGAAAGTGAGGGAGAGGGAAGAAACGTGGACAAACCACCAAAGAAAATGTCTTTCATTCATCAACTCCACTTTCAATCCAAATTACAACCATATAAATAATAATGAAATAATAAACTTGGGCTTGGGCCAAACCCATATACAAGCTCAATAAAATATGAAGCCTAAAATAAATAAAAGATAAAAAATTGGCTTGACAATTGGCCTGATGAGGATGATGTCTGCATCAACTCTCCTGGGGTGAGAGAAAAAATTCGACCCCTTCGAGTAGGGATAGCATGAAATGCTGTTGTCAGTCTCCCAGTCACAAACTAAGTGGTTGAGCAAACTTCTTTCAAAATCTATAGACACGTAAGGGTGGTGATCCGGATAAGGGAAGATCTTGTTGACTCCTATAATACTCCAACAAATCGGGGTCAAGCTGTTGAAGTGTCTCCCTAGAGATCTAAATACAATTAGAATCAGGACGGCCCTCCCAACGAACAAGGAAGTGCTGAATGTTTCAATATGGTCCGAACGTCGACCAAGGTCGACCAAGAATGACATGTCCGACATCCATAGGGATGACGTCACATATATGATCCTTATACTTAAGGAATTAGATAGGCACTAGACAATGCTCTTTCACAGCTATGGACGAAGTGTCAATCCAAGAGAGACTATATGGTTGAGGGTGTAAGATTGGCTTTAACCCAAGACGGGACATTGTGGCCACAGAAATCGCATTAATGCAACTCCCACTATCAACAATAATCTTACAGCCCTTATCGTTGATCTTAATGTATGTATGAAAAATGGCGTGACGCCGCCAATCATCGACATCCTTAGGTTGGCTAAGGATACTACGTACAATACTCAATCGAGAAGTGTCGGAGGCCAGAGAAGCAGGACCTAGACTTACAGGAAGGGTACGAAGGCAACCTAAGAAGGTATCCTCATTATCATCCAAATTGTCAAACTTTTCAAAGTTAGGCTCATAGACTTGATCTTCTAGAGGCTCATCTACGGCATCCTTCCGCTCGTCAATGACTAAGACTCGACTCGGACATCTGGAGGAGATATGGTCGAAACCCTTACAATTAAAACATTGCAAACGAGAGGAAGAAGTTCTTGAAGTTTCAAAAGCTTTACCTTTATTGTCTAAAGCAGGGGGTGCGTTAGATGGTGGAAGTCCTAGAAGAGATTTGGTGGGAGGAGGTGGCGATGATGAGACGGATCGAGTCTTAGTAATCAACTTGTAATCTTGGACTAAGGAATAAGCGTGATCAAGAGTGGTGACACCTCGAAGGATAAGCTCACGTCGAAGATCATCTCTTAGGCCCTGTCTGAACTTACTCGAAGTCATGGTTTCATCCTCGATAATGTGACATCGCATTCGAAACTCATCAAATTGAGTAACATAGTCAGTCACTGGACGATTTCCTTGTGTAAGGGCATTTCACTTGTCCAACAAATTGCTCCTATAAGAGAGAGGTAAATACTTCTCTTGAAGGCGGCGCTTCATTTCCTCCCAACTTCCAACGGGAGGTACGTAACTTCAAACTGGCAAATTGAACTCTTCGATCCTCTGGGACTCCATACCATGAAAAGAAACGACCCATGTCTCAAATCCATTGTGTAAAAACTCTGGAATCTAAACAGTTATCGAAAGTAGGAGCGTCTAATTTAATGTTTCGAAAATAACGCTCCTTATAGCGAAGAGGTGAATGAGTACCGTAACGGTCATGGCCTCGTTCATGATTGCTCTCCTGTTCCCCATTCCTTCGTCCATGACGAACACGCTGTTGACCCCCATGCCGATGACGATAAGATATGTTATGAGACGCTTCAGAGTTATCAGTGTCGGTTGAGGGAGGGGTTTGTTCTAAATTGTTACCCTAGTAGCTAGTTCTCTACTTCTTCACGAGTAGCAGTCACCTCGGTTTGGACGGTTACTTATTGAGCTTGCAGTTGAGCTAATTGTGGAGTAAGGGCATCAAATTGAGAAGGGTCCATGGTCACAGTATTGGAATTGGGTATGACAAAACGACTGATACGCAAATGCATGCAATGTAATACTATGCAGTGAATGACAAAATCAATAAACAACTAGTTCAAGAAATGAAAATAACAACTTCATTTAAATTTATATATATTTTTATTTTTTTATTTTTTATCTTTGGGGATTATGAAAATTCAAACATGTCAAGCTGATACTGCTGATCTATGTAAAAATAATAAAGCAAGGGTCAAACACTAGTCAACGACATAAGCACGTAAAATAAATGGGGGTAATGGTGAAAATATGACAAGTCAAGAGAGTTAACAAGTCTAGGGATTTAATTACATGAATTTTATGTAAAGACAGCAGCACAAAAGTTAATCGATGCAATTCAAGATAAACAACAATATAACCTAAGGATAAATAAAAACAGTAACTTCCCTTTGTTGGAATAGCTGAGTCAATCAACGGGACAAATAGATACATGAAAAATGATGTTAGAAAAATAACTCACTTTTCATACACACACACACACACACATATACATACATACATATACTAATAAAACTTCTAACTAAACAAATGAGCCAAAATAGGGATACAAAACTAGAGACAAAGACTTGAACTAAAGGCCCAAACAAAACTTTAAAATTACAATGGCAACCCGAGCTTGGAGATAACACCGAACTCTTTTCTCACTTGAGATTGAGCAGCGGTAATGCGCATGGGCAGAGAGAGAGGGTCGTCGACAATCGGTTTGGGGCATGTGAACCGCCGATTGTGGGATTTATTTTGTAGAAGCAGTTTACTGAGACGTGTATGAAGATGATGAAGGAAGTTGTTGGTTGAAGACGTGGTGGTGTAGTGGCGGATTTGCAGCAAAAAGTTGTTGCTTGGTCTGTCTTTTGGGAGGCTGCCTGGGTTGGTTACAGATTTAAAGAACTTGGTGGTGGTGGAAAAGATGGTGAAGATGACAAAACGGGCATTTTGCAGCAGCAGATATGTTATGGTTGTGTTTATGGCTTTTCTTCACATTCATGGCAGTATTTTTTTATTATTATTATTTTTTCTTTGGAGACTCTATATTTTAGTTAAAGATATTGCAAAGTAGGTAAGACTTTGATGCCAAGAATTGATGTAGAATCACTTGAGAAGAAGAATCAGGCAGCACAGAAGAAGGGAAAAGTAGAGGGGAGGAGGAAGAAGAGAAAAGGAGGGGGGGAAAATGAGGGAGAGGGAAGAGATGTGGACAAACCACCAAATAAATTGTCTTTCATTAATCAACTTCAATTCCAATCCAAATTACAACCATATAAATAATAACAAAATAATAAACTTGGGTCTGGACAAACCCAGATACAAGCCCAATAAAATATAAAGCCTAAAATAAATAGAAGATAAAAAATTGGCCCGACAATTGGCCTGATGAGGATGATGTCCGCATCACGGGTGCCTTGATCCTACTCCAATTTCATACAGAAATAATCAATATCTTTAACAGCACAAACCAACCCAAGCCTTAGTGGGGCACAGTTTCAGGAGCTTATATTTACCTTGAGAAGGTTATGGAACTCCTCCTGCATATTGTTGCTAGTCCTATAACTAACCACACTCTAACTTATCTTTTGCTTTCTATGCTGTGAAAAAAATATCCTCACTTTGCATGGTTATTTGCTTTCCTTATTGGTTATACACGGCTCTCGTTTTAATTAGTAATTAAATGGAATAAGTAATTTAAAACTACAGGTGAAACATATCAGCAGACCGACAGAGATTTTTTGGAGTCTGAAAAAGATACTTTCCGGGATGATGGTTCAACAGCTTCAACTGCAGTTCTAGTTGGCAATCACCTATATGTTGCTAATGTTGGAGATTCGCGGACTATAATATCAAAGGCTGGCAAAGGTACTTTTCATATTGTAGATTTCTTTTCCTTTTCCAGGTAGTATGCTTTTCATATCGTTTGTTGCATTCTAACCATTTACCATTCTATGGATACTGTACAGAAAAGAAGCCTCCAAATTGTCTGAGTGAAAATCATAAATCAAATAATTTTTAGCCGCTACTAGATTGCAGGAATATGGGATCGATGGACTTTGGGAGACAATGTGTTTTGTTTTACTAATTTTGATTAGAAGATACGTAATGAAAACAATGATAGCAATACTCGTGTCAATGTTACTTAGATAATAAAAGTAGATTTTTCGTCCAAAGATGTAATGACTTAGCAGTTGATATTATATTTCATGATGGTTATCGTTTCCTACTTTCCCTTAATTTTTTCATCTGGATGCTAGACATCCTGGTCCTGTGGAAACTGTAAGGGGTTTATAAGATATGATCCTTTTGTCTGTTAAATCAAATTATTTTACTGTTGAAATATTTCATGGTGTCCAAGGCTGAACAGTATTTATTCAAGCTGGTTTCTGTTTCTCAAAAAGTTATTTAAAACTGCGAGCTTGATTCGATGCCAGCAATTGCTATTTACTTACGAAGAAACCTAAACATTAACGAGGGAAATGTTTCTCATAAATTTCATGTTTTCAAATCCATGAACTAATGCATTATATCTATCTGATCGCAAAACTAACCAACTACCTTTTGGAACATAATCTTATGAAAAAGTTCTACATTTAACTCATCCTTAAGTTTGTACATAATATCTTGCCCTATATTCTTTCTGTATTAGGTTACTTCTTATAAGTTTCTCTGCATAATAATTAACTGCGACTGTTCAATTATGATTATTTGCATTGCAAAAATTTTAAGGGGAGAAAATCTTTCGGTTGTAACTTCTGAAGTACACTTCATTTTTGTGCTTGGCAGCAATTCCACTCTCAGAGGATCACAAACCAAACAGAAGTGACGAGCGCAAGAGAATTGAAAATGCTGGAGGTGTTGTAATGTGGGCTGGTACTACCCATCTGTACATTAATAGTCGTGCTCATTGCAAATTTCTTAGCACTATTTCTGTGCATCATTTTACAGTAAATGCATAGAGATGGTGTTATTGACAAAAGGGTGTTTTGTTGATAAGTCAACTGCCAAACAAATAAAATGTATCAGCTTAAGTTTTCTTTTGATTAGCAACATAATGAAGATGTGAATCTTTTTCTTCTAAAATAATAGATTGAGATTTGTCCTTTCATGTTGGTCTGTTGGACGTCATGTGTTACGCGTATTAGGTACGACTGTAGTCTGAATGATGGACCACCTGATCTTTGTATATCAGATGGATGTTTAAATTGTTTGGGAGGTTTATGATATTGGCCGTTAATAGTTTGGCTCGAGATATTGGGCACTGATCATCCATTGTCCAAACTCTTGTCATCTTGCTGAGTCAAGTAGTTATCGAGCAAAGCAAAATGATATCTTCGTGAGGATGTTGATTACTGTAATGCAAGAGCTATCGACCCACAATTGGAAATGGTCTTGAATAAAAGTTATGTGGTCCCTTGTAGCTGATTGACTTTCTATTTATTGCCTTTGTATCAGGCACTTGGAGGGTTGGAGGTGTCTTGGCCATGTCCCGTGCTTTTGGAAATCGCATGCTGAAGCAGTTTGTCGTGGCTGAACCTGAGATTCAGGTAGCCCTATTTATTACTGATATTTCTTCATGTATACAGCTGTACAAGTTTCCTTGTTCTAGACCTGCCTAGTCAAACTTCAAAGAGTTATATGGTGATGAAAATATTTAGCTAAATTTTCAAATTTTTAGGGTTTGTTTGTGCCTTTCTCCAACGATTATTAATGAAGCTTGACCAAGTAGATATAATCAACTCATTATTTTACAGGAACAAGAGATTGACCAAGAGCTTGAACTGCTTGTGCTTGCAAGCGACGGACTTTGGGATGTTGTGCCCAATGAGGTGATAAGAATCATAAACCACTATTCTTATTCCTTTTCATCTTATAAGGTTTTTCAGTTTCTTGGTGCTTTTGGAACCGAACAATATAGTCAAATAAGTTATAGATTAATAATTTAAACTGCATATTTATTTTGTTTCTGAAAAGGACAAATTACATAATTTCTTGTATATTATGTCAATAGTATAGTAGCTGATGCAAGTGTCCGCCTATTTGTCAGGATGCTATCTCACTTGCACAAATAGAAGACGAACCTGAAGCAGCAGCACGGAAGTTGACAGAAACTGCATTCACACGTGGTAGTGCTGACAATATTACCTGCATTGTTGTGAAGTTTCACCACAACAAAACAGAATGCAAGGAAACCGAGCAATATTTCAAATCAAACACTGAGGAAACCGAGCAAACTTTCAAATCAAGCACTGAGGAAACCCTGCAAACTTCCAAATCAATCTCTGAGGAAACCCAGCAAACCTCTAAAGGAAGCACTGGGGAAACCACAAAAGATTGCAAGTCAAATCCTGTGGAATCCCAACAAAGTTGATGAATTTGTTGCCATTGTATTTGCAGTTTATCTAGGTGCAAATATGCTGTTGATCACATTGAAGGGGACGATAATTTGTTCATTCAATTGTTTTTTTCTTTGTAATTTGCCTTGCATGTTTAAATTTCAGTGCATCATACTCATAAAGACATCATCTGGATAAATTTTAAGGGTGCTCTAATTTTACAAGAAATAGCTTTCTTGCTCTTTTCAGTTTTCCGTATTTCCGTTGTTGATAATTTTCATCACCATGCCACCGCCCAACGCCCTTCCTCATTCCCAGTACCTTAGATGGCAAATGGGATCGAGCCCTCTCAGCTTATGCCTTGACAGGGTGGTGGTGAGAACAAAAATTTCGATGCAAACATATGGTACATGAAGTCATTGGCAAACTAAGAATTAAAGAATCATGGGTGACTTCAATAGCTTCTCCACTGGAGATCTACAATTTTGGTACTGTCTGTTGTTGTTGATGATATTTTCATCGACAGTCATTGACAGAAGTTTGTCGATGCCAATGGTATTGTTAATAATTTTGTTTGAATCATCGAAAGAAAATTATGATCACTTGCTTCATTTCATTATTATTAACATTTTAAAAAAAAAATAAAAAAAAAAATCCAAGCACTTGAGCCTCCTCTACTCCCATGCAAGATTATAACAATGCTAAATCAGTGACAAATTCCACATAGGATGGGAAGTACAGAATGGATTATCACATTCATCCATGCATGATTTCGAGTCGATCGCGTTCTACCTCAGTATTGCATAAAGAAAACGATTTGATAAAGTCTATTCCACCTCGGATAGCTATATTATATCCTCATCCAAATAACACTCTATTACACTAACACCGATTACTATATAAAAGAACATGCCTCAAACTCTTCAACTACACTTTATTTACATAGCAATATATACACCTACAATCTCTATTCAATTATATCTCCAAATATAAATCCCATGATTATATAAAAGTCTTCCGATGAAACGTCATTTCCTTTTTGCTAGCAAATTGCGACATTCACAAAATTATCTTTCAAGATCATGCAATCTAGTGAGTTTTTGGGAGCCCTGTATTTATTAAAATAAAAAGATAAAAAAAAAAAATTCTAGTGACTTGAGAGGCACGGAACATCTTAACACTTGTATAGGATATATCTGGTGTTAGACAAGAACTTATTGATGCTTCAAAGGTCGAGAGTCTGCTATCCTTTCAATATTTAACTCAAAAACGAATAATTTGAAAATACTTTATCTCCGAAGTAAACATATTACACCTTTGTTTGTGTTCAATTTTTCCAAAAATGCATTTTAAAACTCATTTTTAATCACATTCTCTCATAAAAGAATGTTATGTATAAGGACCATGCTTGGGATACTTCGGGATGTCCAAAAGGGTGTCCAAAATGCGCCTCGACCAACCCCGAGGCGCTCGGTGTCCATTTTGGTGTATGGACACCAAAACGGACACCCGAAAGTACCAATAGCATTATCCTATATATAAATCCAAAAATGTTTTCTTATTTTTTAATTACGTTTCAAATATTTCTATTCCAAAACATATTTTCCTCCAAAATTTCATTTCAATGTAAGATGAGATTTGTTGTACAATTTTATTGTTTAAATGGTTGTCCATCCATTAAGGCCCCGCTTGGTAGTGATTTCGAGAATTGATTTTTTGATCGTTAGGAGAACAGTGAGGACAGAGAAAAACTCAAACTTTACGGCTGGAATAGTAAATTTGAAGTGATATATTAATTATTGATGATATGTCAATAATTCATTGGATTGATCATCATTTAGACATTAAAATTGGACAGCATATTTCAACTTATTTTATTGGAGATGATACACAAAAAGTAACCCTAGTTAAGCTCAAAGGGTGAATAAACATCAGTTAGATAGAACCCTGGTTAGGGTTAATCCCCCAAAAGTTGTAAACAAATGCAAGCCCATGCCTATCTGTCTTTTACGAGTACAGAAATATTTTGGGCATTTTCAGATTTTTCTTCGAGGGGTTTTGACCAAAAATTTTCAAGCTCTCTACAGAATTTCTCCCCATTTCAATTTGGTGGGAAAAAAAAAACAACCAAATTCAACTTCAGGCGGTTCAAATTATTATTTTAATCGGTAATTATTTCTTTTATCCTTACACTTTCAACGTTTACAGAATTTTTAGGTTAATTCAGGAATTTGATACTGAATATAGGTTTCTATCTGGAGTGCTGAATAAGAAGGTTGGAAAATGGAAGTTAAATTTTGTTGTTTATTTTATAGGCTCAATTTATCGGATCTATTCGGATTCTCAATTTTCGAATTTGAGTTTGATTATGGATTTGTGAATTTTAAACGTCTGTGGTAATTTTTTCTGGTTGTTGTGATTTGCGATCTAATTTACAATTAGAGCTGTTAAATTGAGCTCATAGCATCGGGAGTAGAGATTGATGGCCAGATATCATATAATGCGTTTCTGCAACTCAATTACTGTTGGGTCGATTTTCTGTGTTTTCTGCAATTTGCTCGAGGGCTGTTGATCTAAAAGCTGTCTTTTTATAATTTTATCTTTATTCCTTTCTTCTCGTGGATTTCAAAGAAACTTGCAATTCAAACTTGGTTTAGAATTTTACGCTTATCTGAAGAAACATTTATGTGATGACCCCATTCTTTTCTCATTTTTATAATATACTGCTGCAACCTCTGTGGCAGACATATATAACTCAATCCAATTTCTTGTAAATGATGGTGCATTAAGATACACCTGTTCATTTTAGGTGTAACCTTCACTTTATCCAACTTTGACTGAATTTTTGTTAAACTTCTATATTCACTTGAGTTTATCTTTTCCTTTGAATAGAGAGGTCCTTAGGGTTTTAAGTTCAGTTATTTGTTTCTTATATTTTCACTGATTTTTGGGTGTTTTTACAGTTGACATGCCATACTAAGATTGTATCAAAAACTGGTGAACAATTGGGAGCCAAACCATTGTTAAACTATGGAGTGCAATAAAGATGAGGCCCTACGGGCAAAGGCAATTGCGGAGGGCAAGTTAGAGAAGAAGGATTTTGCTGGCGCAAAAAAAATTGCCTTGAAAGCCCAAACACTGTATCCAGGACTGGAGGGTATTTCCCAAATGTTGATAACGCTTGATGTGTATATTGCTGCAGAGAATAAAATAAGTGGAGAAGTAGACTGGTACGGAGTGCTTGGTGTCAACCCCTCTGCTGATGATGAAACAATAAGGAAACAATACAGGAAATTGGCTCTCACGCTTCACCCAGATAAAAATAAATCTGTTGGTGCTGATGGTGCTTTTAAACTTCTTTCAGGGGCCTGGAGCTTATTATCTGATAAGGCTAAGAGGTTGGCATATAACCAAAGGAGGGGTTCTAGGGGATTCAACCAGAAAGTTCAAATGCACGCTGGTGGTACATCATCAGCATCCAGAGCAAATGGATATCATAATACTGGAAGTAGGACAACATCAGTTACAAAGACCCAAAACAATAGTGCAAAGGTGCCGCCTACATCAGTTCCTACTCCGTCGTATGAAAGAACTGATACTTTCTGGACTATTTGTCACCGATGCAAGATGCATTATGAGTATCTTAAGATATATCTCAATCATAGTCTTCTGTGCCCTAATTGTCACGAGGCCTTTATGGCTTCAGAGACAGCACCACCATTCAACTTTTCTAAATCATGCAATCCTGCATCTCGCCAACGGCATCAGAATTTGAATAATCATGCATCTGCTAGAAATCATGTTGACCCGGAAAGAAAGGCTGCAGCTGCTCAAAAATCAGGACCAGGTCAAGCAGGTCCTAATTTGTATGGATATAGAAGCTACCAGCAGGTTCCTCATTCTGGAACAGATGGTGCTCGCAATACAGATCCTTCTATAGTGGCAAAAGCAGCAAATATTGTTCAGCAGGCACAGGAGAAAATGAAGAGAGCATATCCTGAACCACCTGCTAGTTGGGAAGGAGAAATAAAAAAGCAAAAAATAGATGACTACTCTGGTGCAAACACTACATATAACATGGCCATTGGAAGTAGAGGTTTTGCAAGTGCAGGTGCATCAGGATCAAGGATCTATGGTTTCTCTGGCACTAATAATAAGCCCAACAGCACCAGAGACCTGACCCCACTAGAAATGCGAAACATGCTAATGGAGAAATCTCGAAAGGAGATTTTGAAGAAGTTGAAGGAATGGAGATTGGAGACTGCAACGAAGGCTGCAGATAAAGTGAAAGAGAAGGCAGGAGAGGGCAAGAAAAACAAACACAGAAGCACCAGTGGGCATGATCAGAATGGCAATGATGCGTTGTCTGCTCCCATGGGCATAGAGCGAGGGAACAAGTGTCTTGCCAGCCATTCTGCTGATACTGCAGATAAGGAGGATACTGTGGCAGCATCCATGAATGTTCCAGATCCTGATTTTCATGATTTTGATCAGGACAGAGCTGAAAGTTCTTTTGGAGATAATGAGGTTTGGGCTGGTTATGATGATGACGATGGTATGCCTCGTTTCTATGCTCTGATTAGTAAGGTAATCTCAAGAAATCCATTTAAGGTCAAGATCAGCTGGCTTAACTCAAAAACTAGTAACGAATTTGGATCTCTTGATTGGGTAGGTTCAGGATTCTACAAAACGTGTGGTGAATTTAGAATCGGCAGATATGAAATCTGCAAATCTATCAATTCTTTCTCCCAGAAGGTTAATTGGTCAAAAGGACCACGTGGGACAATTCAAATATTACCCACAAAAGGTGATGTTTGGGCACTCTACAGAAATTGGTCGCCTGATTGGAATGGGCAGACCCCGGATGAAGTTGTACACAAATACGACATGGTGATGGTGCTTGATGACTACAATGAGGAACAGGGTGTGTCTGTCGCTCCACTTGTTAAGGTGGTTGGTTTCAAGACAGTATTTTGTTCAAATTTGGACCCTCAAAAGGTCAAACGAATAGCAAAAGAAGAGATGTTCCGATTTTCTCATAGGGTTCCAAACTACTTGCTCAGTGGCGATGAAGCTGAAAATGCTCCAAAAGGTTGCTTAGAGCTGGACCCAGCAGCTACCCCGTTGGAACTTCTCCAGGTGATTACGGAAGCTAATGAGGTGCTAATGATGCCTCATGGTGAAGATTCTAAGAAAGAGGTATTGCAGAGCTCTCCAGATAGTAGGTCAGATGACATTGCTAATGGGCCCATAGATGCTCAGAAAGTAGAGATGACAGAAAACAGTCTGGAGTCCGAGGAAGTAGGGAAAACAGTCTCTGAAGGGTAGCGAGGGAAGCAGTGCTTTTTGTACCGTGCTGAAAGTTTTTGAACAAATGTGCAGAATGCCGGATATATACCCAGCATATATGCCTTTTCAATTGCACAAGCCCCAAGCGTAATTGGAGAATGGTGTTTTCTGTGGAATCGGAATTGGGTGAATACTTTTTGTTCTTCATTTTGAACTCGATAAATGTGGAGACCCTGAACTCTTAGAAGTTAAGAGCAAGTCTAACCCCAGTTTTGACAGTTAATTGAGTATAGTAATGAAGATGATGAACTTCATTCTTCTTTTATGTCTAGATAAAAGTGAATGCTTTCTGCCTATAGTACTGAATATCATGTATAAGATAGGGGGTGTATTCTTTTTGTGATGTCGCTTGATTCTAATGTTACAAACATGAAATTCATTTCGTCTTAAAAGTCTAGAAACATTTATAAGTCGGAGGTTCCTTAACATTTTGCCGTGTCTACTATTCACATTATCATGGAATCAACGAGCTCAAGTTTATTGTTCTTTTGCTTTGAAAATTCTTAGAATGGTTTATATATTTCAATTCTTTGTTAAAAATAAATTTATATCTTCTTAGATGCACCTCTTACATGAAATTAGTTTTCCCATTAGCCAGTATTGCTTTTTGTTTCAATACGTTAGAAAGAGGAAAGCTAATTTATATTTAAGCAATCTTTAATACTCCCTTTGTGTGCAGGTGCAGGTCGAATTCAGTTTTATATTCTCTATTTTGGTGCAAACTTGACAACGAGACTTGAACTTGGGTTCATTGTTGGCTTGATATCATGTAGAATCTTCTCAATTAAAAGCTTAAACTATCAGAATGAGACCCCATTTATTCAAATTTATAGTTCGACCGCATGGAAGATCCATGATGAAAAGCTAATTTGTATATTACAAGTTTACAACAAACTTATTTATTCAACCATACAGCAGAAAATCACAAATGATACCAGTAAAGATCTCAAGCTGGTGCATCTGCAGGTGAAGACACCATTTTGAACACATATACAGGATCTCCAACTTTAATGCTCTTCTTCTTTCCTTGAGTTGGGGAATCAGTACAAACCATGTTTTGTCCAAAATATACCTGCAGAATTAAGTGCTCAAGTAAATTTTAAAAAGTAGAAAAAGAAATGCCAGCTTTTAGAACAGAACTCACCTTCCCCTGCTGTTTCTTGTTCGGACGCAAGACTTTATCAGAACGGAAGTTCATAAGAGTTTTGGTAGGTTCAGAGCCTGCTACCGCGCTTTCTTGATTAATTGTGGGTACCTATGAATTATGAAAAGAAAAACAGTTCAAGAACAGTCACTCCAACATTTCGAAGATAAAAATCTCGTTTGAATTCAGGAACTCATTCTACAAGGCTTGTAATACCCCCTCGGAGTTGGCAATAATTTCATGGTTATGATTGCATTAGTCACAGAAAAATCAGAATTTTGTCAACATAATTTTAATCAGTTTGAAGCGTTTGTACTAGTATCAATCTAATCTAAATGACTTTTTTATATGCAATGAGTTGGATTGATGTAATTGACCAAGTTGTTGGGCTAATTTAACTATTGTGGGTCGAAGTGAATTAATTGGATTAATTAGACTTGCCTTTATTAGCCGCTAGCACCAAAAAAGAGAATAACTCCCTATTCTATCTCTAAATCCAACTCGTAATTGTGACTTGTTCAGGGTATTGGAGTTCCAATTTGTTATCGTCATGTGGATGTCTTTTTAAAGGAGGACATGTGTGGTATGCTAAGATTGTGGTAGATCAGATTTAGAATCGTCCCAACTCATAGAAATCACCTAAGGTATACCTCCTATCATGAATTCCATCTAAATACAAAGATGATTCGGCTATTGGACATTCGAGCTTTTTTTAATTTTCGTTGTGTATGTTTAAATAAATTCCACATACAATGAAGGTTTTTTCTTTGTTCTGCCATTGATTTTTTGCATGCATAATCTCAATGAACATAAACTGATAGACATCTTAGAATGTCCTTTAACATGGGAAAATGTACTGTTCTTGATTTCAATATCTGAGTAATTATGCTTAACTTTCGTATGTCTTTTACTATTACAGCCTACTCATGTTCAACGAACAATTAAATAGTTACTATTCAATACATCTTTATCATGTTTGATATGTAGCATTTGACAAGATTGAACGGTTCGATGAACATGATTTCAACATCATTATTCTCGTAAAGGTCGTCCTTGTGATAGAAATATACAATGGGTAAATAAGTACCGTGAAACCTTGGAGAGTTCTACGGAAATAAACGTTTACCTTACAACGAGAGCACAGTTTGACACCGTGGAGTGTTAAATTATTGATCTTGATCTCTGTCCATAAATCCTCGGAAAAGGGTTCACAACCATTAACTAGGATACTGCAGGCAAAGGGTAAATTTTTTACCTTTCCACACGAACTCAAGCATTACATGCCAAATGAAAACAAGTAACACAAGACTGTTAACTGGATTCCATCAAAACTATATTATGAGCCCATTATATAAAAAGAACCTAACATTCAGGTGTAATCAGTAATAACTAACTTGCTTTGCAACAACATTATGAGACGAGTTCAGGGAGTTACTTGGGTCTGAACCGATTCACAGGCATAGGCTCCTCGAGAAGAACATATAACGCGTCCAATGATTCCTGCAAGATACACATTTGTCGATACTGTATCTCGGGGTTTCAAGGTATTTGTGTGAATAGCATCATCCAACAAATAGCACTCACATTAGACGAAATGAGGAATCACTCGACTTGCTGGATGATATCTATTGTACATGTCATGAAATATCTATTGTACATGTCATGAAAACTAACCTGAGATAGCAAGAGGAATGGATACTGGTCCGAAAACATAACTTTATAACCAGGGGCATAATTGGGATCCACAGCCCTAATCTCAGTTGCTACACGAAGGAATGAAAGCCAATTATTCGCATTTACAACATAGTACGACCCGAACCTTTCATCCAATTGGTACCAGGATTCAACTTAAGTCTCTCTTATGTAGAGGTTAAGAGTTCGAATCCTGGGGGACGCGATAGAAAGCCGTGAGGGGTAAGTGGGCGCAAGGCCCACTCAAAGCGGACAGTGCGTAAGATAATGGCTTGGGCGAGAGGTTTGGATCGTTACATGGTAGCTATAAATTTTTGTCAAAATCCGGCTTGTACAGAGAAATTCATAAATTATACTTGAAGATAAATGATTACAAATTGGCAGCTCAATCCATAAGAATGCTTGTATATTAAAGGAATGAAAGCTCTACCTTCATTAAAACGCACCAGCCTGCTGGGTTTCCCAAGATAATTCGAGAACCATTTTGATGCATCGTCTCCTTCATCCAATGCAGAACCACTCCACTCCCACACAGAAACGCCATTGGCTGTTTCAGGTGGTTTAGTCAATGGGACCTTCAGCACATCCATAGCAGGAGCCCTTATCACTACAGAAGGATGTAAATCGTTGGCATTAATAAAGTTGTGTAAATAGCTGTTTGAGAGAAAGTATTATATTTTCCAATGTCTAAATACCTAAATATGAGCTCTTATTTGGTTCCCAATCATCGAAAAATGCCTCATTAGGCAGCTCCACTCGAACTAGAGCAAGCTTTGGTTCCACTCTTTGAGTATATGCCCTGCCTTTGGAATTCACTATAATCCATTGTCGATCCCACCGAAATCCTGATTTCACCGACTAGATTGGTTTTAGTTGTCACTACAATCTTTCAACATGCAACATATATGTATTATTTTTGGTAATTATAAATTGCATCAATTACTTTGGACGCATTGAGTTCAGGAAACTTTGAAGGCAAGTATGCCTTCAAACCATTATGGCACGATATTGGTATCAAAAGATGCCTCCCGGGGCATAGTCTAGTAGTGCAAAGGATGGGAGTGAAGTTATCTCACGTCTTATTGACAGCTGCAATGTGGAGGTTCGATTCGTAAAACATGAAATTGGACTCCTTGTAGGCGCAATATACAGACAGCTCTTATTTCCTGATTTAT